TATATATATATATATTACACTACTTTGCACTGATTAAAATTTTCAACGTGCGTGAATGAACCCTCGGATCGCCGTCTGCATATCGATAATCACGATTAATTGCGGCCGTCCGTGCGGATTTAATTATTATAATTCCGTGACCGCGCGTGATCCGCTTTTGGCAAACACATGCGCAACGGCTCTCGGCCGGGCCGATTCTCGGTGCGATCGAAGGGACGATCCCGCCGAGGTTTAATTATTTTCGTGGGTCATGTGGCATTTCCCGAAGGCCCCGGATTTCGCTCGGGGGCGGGGGGGAGGAAGAAGAAGAAGAGGAGGAAGAGGAGGAGGGCGCAGGCGTAGCGACTAAACCGATAGCGCGGTCGCCGGAAGAACATCCGTCAGGATCCCGCGGACTTTGGGCGATAAAGCGAGGCGACGTTTAAAGCGAAGGACCGTCACCCGTCGCTAACGAGCGACGATAACGTTCGAGATTTATTTAACGAACGAGACGTGAGATACGCGGGTGTTTGCGGCTATCCTCCCCGGGATGCACGTGAAACCGGGGAATCCCACGGGCAGCGTCGTAATTTCCAGAGCCTTCCTGCCTTTCTAGTCTCAACAAAACTCGTCTCTCTCGCGACTTGGACTCGTACACTGCGAGAAAGAGAGAAGCGCATCAACTGCCTCGCTACTATTTCTTCTCCCCGATATCAAACGGCCGCGGTATTAACCGCGTCTATCATTAATAACCATTGTCTTCCATCCGACGCGACGTATCGGGCCCTCGCGATTTTACAGCCTCTTTAACGCGAAGAAACAATAGATGTTCAACAATGTTTACGACGTATGATAATGTGTTAGGAGTAACTCCTTTAATCCTTATCTCTGATACTCTTCGAGGGATCCTTTCTGTCTTCAGTGTTGAATATAGAAATTTATTTAAAAAAATCTCACATATTATAGAACACGGTTCTCCGAGCGGCATCTTGAAGGCATTCTTATAATATAGACGTCCTTTGGATATCCTTTAAGACAGTGTTTTGTGTGGAATAATTGTTTTCTCACAATTATAATATACTGCGCAAAGTACGGATGACATTTGAAGTGTATTTAAGTATAACAACACATTAAAAAATGAGAGAACGAAATGCGATAGATAGCGTGAATGAGAGGTGCGGAAATTGAAAAGGGATTTTTACACTGTCTTGTTCATAATTCGTATTGCAAATAATGAATAAATATTTGATAATAATTATAAACTATTTTTCACAATCCTTTCTTGCCTTGAATATATAGTGTTGAATATATAAATTTGATCTCTCTCTCTTTACCGTCCTTTTTCTATATTCATCACTTCGTTAAACGAAGAATGTACGACAGCAAGCATACTCTTTGAGAGTTGATAATGACAGTCTTTTGAACGTTACACGACATAGCTCGAAAAATGCTCCCTTTTCTAATTTACTTCCAACGCGTCGCTATCGCAACGTTCTTACGTAAGCAACGTCATATGCAGGACGGCCGCTCTAAATTACACGACACCAAGAATTTAACGCCGTCTCTCCTATATCGTCCGTCACAAACGCGCTCTTTCTCGCCTCGCCTGGCGGCGACGTCAGCGGCAGAAAAAAATAAAACCGACGCTGATAAGATCTACCGCCTTTATCTTGCGCAACGGAAAACGCGGTGTTTAGCGGCAAATAAAAATGGCGAAGAAATGGTGGAAATTCGCTAATTAAAAAATCGATTCACGTCGTTCTATTGATTGTAGAATCAATTATTAAATCTGTGAAACCAATCTGGCCTTCTATTCGTCGCGCTTCGACATTACTTTGACGTTTCTATTGTAGAACTTGAATAGAATCTTCCTTACTACTATTCTAGGAATGTTGGAAATGTAATTCGGAATGGATTGAATATTTATTTTCGATGAAAAAAGATATCGTGAAATGTTTCCTTCTTTTTTACATTAATTTTACATTAATGGTAAGAGATGTTTAAAAATCTATTTAAATGTAAATGTCGCTTTCTTTCTTTCTCTCGAAGCCCTCTCAAACTTATCTGACAATTTTCTGATTTCAGATTGTCTGAAAATGTCGAGTAACCGACGTGAAACGACTTTCCATCACCGTAATGATAGCTTTGCCAAAGGAAACCCGGGTTACGTGAGAAAATGATTACCTCGCAACCAGCGGCAAAACGGTAAATCGAATTGGTAAATATTAGACATGCAGTCAGACGGAAAGAGCAAACAGTTAAATTTCGATTTAACTAAATGGCGGAAGGAGTGATGATCTGTCACTGATCGACGTAATTAAGTACCGTGGCAAATGCGTTTAATTCAGCGTAATGTGGCTTCCTCCATAAATTATGAGGCGCCAATAAGGTTTCTTAAACGCGTCTATTTTACAGCGACACAATGTTTGATCGATGCGAATTGCGAACGAATAGTCCAAACGTATATATAAGTGAAATTCGCGATATTGATACAATAACAGAATTTACTCACATCGGTTATTTGAATTTCCGTCACCTGCGTGAAAATATTTCATTGCCATTAATGATATTATCCATTCAAATGTGTGTCAAGTTTTTAAGAGACTTTTCTATCGTAAAGTACCAACAAAGTGACAAGTAGTACGCAGTAAAAGCGTATCGATTGTGCCATCTACATAGTTGCAGAAGAAGTGCCATTGTGTATTTATCATAGTCCCAGAGGGAGAGAGAACGATTTTGTTGAAGCATCAAAAATTTAGCGGGATACAGATACCTTTTTATTTACAGAAAATAATTTTAACATTCTAGCAATTAGTTTGAGTGTCCTACTTGAAAATTTTGATTGTCTAACAAAATAATTTTCGGATCCACCCACAGTTAAATTTTTGGATACTTCAACAAAAAAATCGTTCTCACCGTGCATAATATTTTTTTAATTTATATCTTAAATTATATATTATCGCAAAATTCACGTATCATTTTCCAGAAGAGTAGCGTACAGTTTTGAAAATTAATATCAATTTATTATTGATTTTAATAAATATAAATAGTCGTTGGGGTAATTACTCTGTTCGCGATACGCGACCTTTCGTTGAAATGATCATTGATTTACGAGAAGAAAATAATTAAATATTCAACTGTGTTGGAAATAGAACATATTATATATTTTATTCAGCCTTATAACGATTTCTTTTCGAGTATCCAACGCGACGATCGTCACGCAAGATATTTCGCCACAATTGATCGGTCTCCGTTTAGAATTGTTTTCGATTGGTTATTGGTCTCGTTGATTAATAATTGCAATGACTGTCTTATTCACCAGAAATGTCGTATTGTTACGCAAGTTTTCGAAATCAGAGCTTCTATCGGATGTGACTGACATCATCGCGCCACGGGGAGTCGTATATAAATTACTAATTAAAATGCAAGAAACGAGTAGCCCAGCTCGGGCATTCTTCTTGCTTCGCTTCCATGCTTCACTTCCATGCTTCGCTCACATGAGAATTTCATGGCTGATCAGCTCGCACTAACTAACTATGCCGTCAGATAATCTAGATAGGATCATCGATTCCTAATTCTAAATCAGTTTACGAATCAGTGCGGCATTGATCAACGAGGCAATTTGTCGTCTGATTTAATCAGAGACGCGTTCATGTTATTGAACATCCTTATATACTGAGAATAATATTCTGGTTGTACTACTAACAAGAAATACAAACGAAACAAACTCTGATTATATGAATTAGAATTCTGGTAATTGAATGTCTTGTTATCTCGACTAGAATTTAATTTAATTATAGATTTAATTATAAGCTGATTTGTATCTTTTGAATTTATCAGAATTCCAATGCAGCAAGCTTTTCAGTGTGTAAAAACGAACAAAATGTATGTTTCAGACTTGCACATCGGGTGTACGGTTTTAACTCTGATATTGAAAAATAGATAAGATACGGAAAAATTTCAGAAAAGAGAAATATAAGATACGAGGACATTTCAGAAAATCCAGGTAAAGTAATATTTTTCGAATTCCGGCTGAAGTAATATTTTACTTCAAATAAAATTATTAACAGATTTAAAAATGATTATTAGGATCAGGTTGTGAATATCCTTAAAAATTTTTTCTTAAAGATAGCCGTTACTTAAAAGAAAAAAATTAATCGAGTAATGAATTTTTTTAGCAACATAATGATATGTTTTTGTGTATATAAACATCAATATTACTAAATTGCTTGTCAATTTAATTTGTAATATTATTATTCTGTTTCGTTAGGATTGCGTTTTAAGACTGAAAATTAAATTTGGTGCGCAGTTTATAGGATTAGTTATATAAATATAAATTTACACAGAATTATTTAAGTACTAAAAAAAAATAGCTTGACTGTTTAAGGCTTTTATCTCCTAGTTGTTATGTATTCACATTTGCGACCTTAAAAGATACTTTGTTTAACATTATTTATGTGAAAAATGTTTTAGACAAAAACTGTATGATCTGAAAGAGAATAAATAATTTTTCTTTAATTTTACTTTTCTCTATTTGTAATTTATTCTTTTAGTTGTGTGACTTTTTTAAAGACATGTGACAATTGACTCCTACTTTGCCCTTTATTTATTGTTATTTATTTAGAATAAATAATAGTAAAATCAAATTTCTGAAAAATCGGCTGTTCAAAAATTAATTTTATCTTATTATTTGTTCTTTTTTAGATCATACAACTTTTGTTTGAAATATTTTTTCATATCTTTCGTATTTTTCAAGATATATTTCGATCTTAATGTCAAAATGGAACATTCTGTATAAAAAGTCGTGACATTAATAGGGCAAAACATTTATATTTCGAATCAGTTCGGTAATCCTTACTTTATGTT